TTGCTGCACAGTACATCATCCTGCTTGTCACCGCCTGCGGGAGGATCTCCGCAGCCATCCCACTAGCGATGCTTTTAGTGAGCTGTTTATTGCTACAGCTTTAGACTGGGTGTGTGGAGACCACAAAACCATGACAGCTGATGGGGCTCTGTCCACAGAGATCCAGTTATACCCGAGAGGAAAGTACTTGTGTAAATGCAGATTTAGAAGGGAGCAGACATTTCTGAGAGCCTGTGCTTGTTAGCTGGTGTCTGTGGAGCACCGGCAGGTCTGAGTTCAGCCTGTTTGTGGTCCAGAAGTTTGGCCTGTCTGCCTGTAGCGTTAGCCTGGGCATGGCATGGTTGTTCCTAGGGGGGCATTCACTGGGAAACACTGAACTAAGTTTAGACTGAAGTATCTTTGTGGATGTACTAAATCTCTGGCACTGACTGGGTTGTGAGGAGAGCGGAAAGAAGCTTTCGCTTGTTGCAAGGGTTTTTCAAGTCATGTGGATGTGAAAAAGGCATTTTCTCCATGTGCCACTGGGGACAGTCTCCTCTCACCAAACTCAGTTGTCAAACTAGCTTCAGCAGACCCTTTGGCAAAGGGTCATTGGCCAAGGTGTGCTGGGCTGGTCAGGGGGTGATGATGTAGAGAAAAACCTTCTGGAGTCTCAGCTGAGCTGCAAATGGAGCAGACCGGTGGAGCCGGACTCTAACCTGCTCATAACTTTTAACCAGGGGGCCATCTCACCAGACCTGCCTTGGATGCTCAGTGCTCCTTTCCAAAGGAGTCCTGAAACTCTAAAGCAAGATGGAGCCATGTTTGGGTTTTTTCCTTGTTACTTCTCATTATAGGCTCTTTATTTTCCAACCGCTGAGCAAACTTAGCAGTATCTAGGATGGCCCTGCCCTTGGCCAGTAAAACAGTGAACCATGGTATTACTGGCATATTCCTGAGATTGTTGAGAGATGGGTTTTTTTGTGGGTAGAAAGGCTGCAATTTCCTATCATTTCACTACCCAAGAATTTCCTCTGCACCGACTTGCTTTCTCTCTTTTAATAGCAAGAATGCCGTAAGACGAAAAAGCCAAAACAGAAATCTTAATGTGTTGTATATCTCATCATGGTGAGCAGAATTTGCTTTTCTTCCAAGCACTTTGTTGACACAGGCTTTTTTTTTTTTAAAGCATTACAAATGTCTTCAAACTCTTTATCTTAAATTTTATCTCCTTGTTTCACACCGCTGTCCCCAAATGGGCTTGGGCATAGGTGGAGTCTAAGATTGTTGGGGAGCATTTGTTTTGCATTATCTTACTGGGTTTGGGTGGGGGTTTTTTGCAATGTCTTATGTGTCATTTTTTTAAAAGAAATCTCCTTTTATGCATATTTGAGGAGCCGGAGCAGAGCTGCAAGGAGAAGCTCCATATCTGGGCAGGAAGTCCTGCCGACCAGGCAGCCCAAAAAACAGGCAGCGGTGCCTGTTATGTTTGGCCCCCGCACAGAGGTGGAAATGAGTGGCCCAAACCTCCCTCCACTTCTGCAGCAGCAAGGAATAACACTGTCCTCCAAACAAAGATGTGGCTGTGCAAGAGGATGCTGCCCGGAGGGGTCTGAGCTTGCAGGGGAGGGTGATGCAGCAGTCGGTGGGTCAGTGCCCTTCACCCAGTGCCCCGGTGAGCTCTGCCCGTGCCACAGGGATGTCCTCAAGGCTTCACGGGGCCACCTGAGCTGCCCTGCAGGCACTGGTGGTGATGAGCTGCCAGCCCAGCACCTTTTCCTGCCGCCGGAGACCTGCACCTCCGAGGGCAGGGATACGTGAGCCGTCTCAGGAGCTGCGTGTTGCCTTGAAGAGCCTCTCAAACTTTGCATGGTTTCCCCAGATGTTTTCCTGTAGCTTCAGACTCACAGCTAGCTTGGTGAGGAGCTGTGAGTCATGCTGCTGACACCTGCAAACAAGAGTTTCCAAGGAGATCTGGAGCTCCTGGTTGCGAAGGCATGTGGTCTGGCCCTGGCTGGAGCAGTGCACAGGGGGGAGGGCTGGTGACTAGGTCTTCTTTACGTGTCTGAAGCTGTATGTGGCCAAAGATCAGGGCTAGGGCTTGCTTTGCCTTGTCTTAAGGAAACGGATGATCAGCTTCTGTTGTATAACCCAAAGGCAAGGACCATCTAATGCCAACGGGTTTGTTCAAGTGAAACAATAATGGCAGTTTAAGATAAGAACTGAGACTTTGCTGTGTTAAATGTGATCCATTTTACTGTGTTTGGGCTCAGTAAAGGTGTAACTGCATGGAACAAGAGCTGGCTGTTCAGCCCATGATGGTGAGACACCACCCGTTTGATCCCAGCTCTGCTAGCTGGTAGGCTTCAGGGTGCTCACCCTGCCCTTGGCGATGGACAGTCATGCCCAAGCCATTGTGTGGCAGCATTTGGAGCTGGGTACTGAAAACAGATCCAGCAGCCTGGACACAGATCCTCCAGCTAACTGGGGTGGTGGGTAGGGCCAGCCCGCTCTGGAGAGCGGGTACTAGGGTGTTGTGGAGAGTGCTGGTTCAGTAGGTACCTCCATGGGCTTCAGACTGAGTAAAGAGCAAACATCAATTTGACCTAGGATGCAAAGCAGAAGTTGTACTTGGAAAAGTAGAACAAATTGCCAGGCTGAATAAATGACCAAGAAAGTGTCTTGTTGACAAGGAAGTACTGAGGCAAAATACTGGGTTTACATATCAATGTGGAGGTCACAGCCTGGTGGCCACCCCCAAATGGCCATGAGGTCCTGCAGTGACACTTGGACTGTGAAACATCGGGCTGTCTTGTTGGGGGTTCGTGTACTGGTTCTTGCTACTGACAACACTTTTCCCTTTGCTTCCTCCTTGTGTGTAATGGAACTTTTCCAAATGAGTTTATTTAATCCAGATGTTTGTATTTTAAATAAACAACCATTCATAGTCCCTTGCCTGTACTGAGCTTCTGTCTGACTCATTAAGATCAGAGTCAGTTAAAAAAAACAACCCATCAGTTGGTAGGTATCTAGCATGTGGAACTGGCGAGATTGTAAGTGGTCTGTGCTAGGATTGTAAATGTTTTTATCTGTTCTGGAGAGCTGGCACATAGCTGAAGAATCAAAAATGTCCTGTTTTTCTGGATGTTACAGGCAGGGTGGAGTGAGTGTGCATGTTAAGACCGTTTTTAAGATGTATTTTTATGAATTCCCAGGATGAGAGGTCTTTTCACTGGCTTCAAAATATCTGGAAAAACTGCAGGTGAAAAATGAGGTGAAAACTACAGGTGAAAGCTGAGGCACAAATGAAGTGGTGGCCCTGTGGGCAAAGTGAGCTGAAAAGGGCCATTTCATACCCTTTGGGCTGTGTTTCTCAAGGATGAGTGGCCTTGTATGGATGCTTAATGTTTCAGTGCAAAAAACCTCTGTAAAGGCTTGTCATCTACCTTAGAACTGGCAGACCAGCGTCTGGCCATTCCTAGACAATCTGTCCATAAAAGCTTCATCCTTATTAGCAACATGGGGTTTTCCAAGTAAGTTAAATGTCTTTCCTGAGTGCCACCAAATAACCCTTTCCTTTTGAAAGCTGTGGAATATGAGTTTGAATGTCAGAGGAGACCTCTTGGTGCCCCAGGTCTGTGCAGGAGCTTTAAGGAGCCTGGGAGCTGGTGCTAGAAGGGGGACAGTGGGATTCAGGAGGGAGCTGGGAGCAAGTTTGTATTTTGAGAGGGATTAAAGATCTTCTGTAAGAACTTGATGAATGGGAGCAAGCACCAAAAAGGGCACGGTGGTGTGAGGCATGTCTGTTAAGCCTTAATGGAAAATGCAGACTGTGAGGGCCGAAGTGGTCAGAAAATTGCAAGACCCTTTATAATGCTTCTTGAGGACTGAAAGTATTAGATTTTTGCAGAGATGGATGACCACCCTGTAGTTTAATCTCTGCACAGGGTCAGATCTGTTGAGATGAGGTGAAGCTCCTGTGATGCTGCCATTGCTTCTGCTGGGGCTGTGTGTCCTGGGGGTTAGGACTGTCCTTGTTTTCTTTAAGTCCATTTTTACAGGGAACAAATGTGTCTTTCAGACAGGAGTCTGAGAGCTTCTGTAAAAACAACCAGGCTGAGATAAATTCAGCACCTCGTGGTGTCACCTCTCCCTGGTGCTTCCTGCAGCCCTTTGTTTTTGTCTCCCATGGTACCCTCCTGCATTCTTCACGTTCAAAAAGCCATGTTTGATAAACCTGTGGCGCAGACACTAAAATAGTTTTATTTTCCGATGTTATTGGCTCCTGTTGTGGTTTTTTTTGCAGTGGTGTCTCCTGTTGGGAGGTTATTAGGACCGTCTCCGTGCAGCAGTGAGCACCCATGTATACAAGTGACTTCTGGTTTCAGTGAGCAGCAGAAAGTGCACCACAACCACAGCCTTTCCCCTGCCTTTCCTCCCTGAAGGCTTTCCCTGCTGTTTCCTGCTCACTGTGGAAACCACCCGTAAAGCCCAGTGCCAGAGGCGTGGAGACATGCCACTGCCACAAAATACCCTTGAGCCCCTGTAGGAAGATCAAGGAGGTCCAAGCGGCAGTAAAGCAGGTTTAGCATCGGGTTATGGCAATGCACCTCCGTGTCTTGTTGTGTGGGATTTCTGACTTGCACAGCTTCATATGCAGTGTTGAAGCTGAATCAAAATAACCTTTTAATGAGACCTGAGGCCTCTGTGCATCAGATTAAGGCAGCTGTCTGGTGTGTGTGTGCTCACTGTTTGATGTGCCACCCCCCATGCTGTTCCAGACATGCCGTCTTCCTGCACTTTGAGGTGAAAAGCTTCATCCCAAGCATCCGTGAATAAACTTGTAGCAGGTCTGCATGGACAGTGGTCAAACGGCATTTGGGAGGTTTGAGGCTTCACAGGATGTAAGGTGTGGCTGAAGAAATCAACATCTGAAGGACAAAACACGATATTAGTACTTGAGTCTTGGATAATCTTTGAGGATAAAGCCTTTCCAACTCCTGTGTCCTGTTCTTTTCCAGATGTCGGTGAGCCAGCCACAGTCAGGAAGAGGTGTGCCTTGTTTACGCTGCAGAGGGACGTGCACGGGCTTCGAGCCACATTCTTGGAGGTAACATCTTGGCCTTGATGTGCTCTGCCCTGACACTGTCCCTTCGGTCCTGTCGGTGTTCAGACTCCAGTGACTTTGAGCGCAAAGCACTGCAGAGTGCTTGAGTGGTGTTGGGAGGTGCAGAGAGGACACGCTGTCTGGCTAGGACAACCGCTGAGTTAAGATGCTCGTGCTCCGTGCTCTCCATCCCCCTCCCTCAGTGGTCCTGCTGCCTTACTACTTGAGTTAAAATCTCATCCATTAGTGCTTAAACCAAGCTGAGGCTCTCATGCAGTGGGGTGTTTCTCCCCTCTTTTGCTAACACTGCCTGCTTCCTGGGAGTTGAGACTCCTCTGCTACGTTGGGTGCAGGTCTTGGCAGCGAGCTGGGGTTTGGGAGGAGGAGGAGGATGCCAGGGTGAGAGATGGCTCAGCCTGCAGAAGGGTCTTGCCAGCCACAGGACTGTCCCTGGCACAGCCCTGCGTGGTCGGTGCTGTTCACGGGGATGTTGGGAGGGCGGCACGGTGCCGAAGCTGCCACACGCCGCGCTCTGCGCGAGCCACCCGATGCCCCACGCAGTGTGCATGCTGGGGCACGAGTCCTCTGCCTGCACAGATCCTCTGCCTGCCACACGCTGGCTTCCCAGCCTGTCAGGTTGTTTGGGAAGGAGTTAGTGAAAACAAACATGCCCTTGCTTGCTTTGGGGGCAGGGAAATGCGGACCGAAAGGATAATCCTGTCGGTAGGAGCTGTGCCGAGTGCCTGGCTGTCACCCTTGTGCTTGAGGGCGAGCGTGGGTGCAGAGCTGGCAGAGTGAAACAAAGCCGTTGGCGAGGGCTCGGTGCTGCATCCTGCTCGGCAGCGCCGCGGTGGCTCTTGCCAGGCTGTCCTGAGCATCCCGATGGCTGAAATGCTATGCTTAGTGCCCAAAATGTCTTCTTATTTGATACTTTATTTTCAGTTTTTCCTCTTAAAAACACTGATAAATAGCCACTGATATCAGTAGCTGGTGGGAGCCGACCAGTACTGTGTGAATAGCTCGGGGCAGGGGCAGTGGGTGGCTGCCCTGCCCTATCTGCTTGCAACCCAAAATGGGAGATGGGGGGCTCTGAAATGGAAGGGAGCTCTCCAGATGTCGTTAATTAAAGAAGGATTAATGCCCTCTGAGGTTGTCTTGCAAAACACTTGGCTCGTTTCTGCAAGCCTGGAGCAGTCCCCTCTGCAGTGGGCCATGCAGCTGGGTTGCAGCGGTGCACAGGAGCCTGCAGGTGTGCTGTCGGCTCTGCGGTGGTGTGTGCCATGGTGTCCTGCAGCCTTCGGTGCCCCGTTTCAGTACCTCAGCTGTGTGGAAATCCAAACTTTAAAATAGTTGTTTGGTTGAATTGCAAGGGTTTTTTTTAATTGACTCCATTAAAGGCTGGTTTGAGTCATGCTTGTTCCAGGATCCTTTTTTTTTTGGGTTGCATCAGAGTTAGTTTGTCCCTTTTGCTATGAGCGTTTGATGGAAAAGCTGGCCAGCAGAGAGTGGCCTTACAGACTTATCTTTGACTTACAGCAGTTATAAAGTGATACACTTGGGTATCAATTCCTCTTTTAGCAGTCACGTTTTTAATGGCACGCAAAGCTTTGTAAGAGGCGAGGCTAGTGCTCAGCTGCTGGAGACTGAGGGTGGGAGATTTAGTGGTGCTTGAAGGGGGTTTCCACAGTTCATGGAAAGTGGCAGCTCCCGAGGGCAGGTGGGAGGCAGCAGTCTGTCAGCGCTGCTGCGGCTGCTTTTGCCTGGGGACAGCACGTGGGGGTTTGCAGCTTTCTGCTCCGTGCTGCTGCGGGTCCCTCTGGGGTGAAAAGCTGGAGGTGAGCGGGCAGTGTGTGCTCACAGCCCAGAAAGCCAACCATGCCCTGGGCTGCGTCCAGAGCAGCGCGGCAAGCAGGTCAAGGGAGGCGATCCTCACCCTCTACCCTTCTCTAGTGAGACCCCCCTGCAGGGCTGCATCCAGCTCTGGGGCCCCCGCACAAGGAGGACATGGACCTGCTGGAGCGGGTCTGGAGGAGGCAGTGAAGATGCTCAGGGGGCTGGAGCGGCTCCCCTGTGAGGACAGGCTGGGAGAGCTGGGGCTGTTCAGCCTGGGGAAGAGAAGGCTCCGGGGAGAGCTTATAGCAGCCTTCCAGTGCTGAAAGGGGGCTTGCAGGAAAGGTGGGGACAGGCTTTTTAGCAGGGCCTGTTGTGATAGGACAGGGAGTAATGGTTTTAAACTAAAAGAGGGCAGAATTAGACTAGATACAAGGAAGAAACTTTTAAAATGAGGGTGGTGAAACACTGGCACAGGCTCCCAGAGGGGTGGCAGAAGCCCCATCCCTGGAGACATCCAAGGTCAGGCCGGACGGGGCTCTGAGTGACCTGATCTGGCTAAAGATGTCCCTGCTCCCTGCAGGGGGATGGGACTGGATAGCCTTTGGAGGTCCCTTCCAGCCCAAACTATTCTATGAATTGTGGTGCATGGCTCAGGCTGCAGGGGCCTTTGGTCTTACGCCATCACCCTGGTCTGTGTTTAACCTTTGGAAGAGGCTGTGTCTCCATGACTGAGCCATCATGTGCTTCCCACGGCCCATCTTGCATTGAAAGGATGATCTCGCTTGTCACTTGCAGGAAAATCTGTAAATCCTGCAAATGCAGCCAGGAGGATCACAGCCTGAGCTCGGACGTGGAGGATGATCGGAAAATTGGGCGCCTGCTGTCGGACTCCAAGTATGCCACGCTCACCGCCCGGGTGAAAGGAGGTGATGGCGTTCGCATTTACAAAAGGAACCGCATGATCATCACCAACCCCATCGTCTCTCGGAAAGACCCCACCTTCGACACCATCACGTACGAGTGGGCTCCGCCGGGGCTCACCCAGAAGCTGGTAAGACAATCCACGGCACGTTTGGCAGGTAGTTGTGTCACTAAATGGGGAACATAACTCAGCTCTGGAATAAAGTTATCGGGGAAAGCGGTAAAACATATGGTTTGCCTCGGAGAGCAAAAATGTGCGTAACACTTTGTATTTTGGAAAACCGTGTAAATAACTGAATAGGCAGGAGAGGGAAATGGACTGCTTTTGGGTTTTTATAGGTTTGCTTACATTTCTACTAGAAGTCTTAATGGGTTTTACAACTAGAAAGCTCACTACTTTGGTAAAGATCATGTCCAATAAAAACTTCGCTGAGGAAAGATCCCATCTCTGCTGTCCTGCCAGTTGTACAATGCCTGTGCAGCCCACGCAGGCGTTTGCACACTCCAAAACCCCAGGCTGGGTGTGGGGTTTGCATGCTCCAAAACCTCCAGGCCTTCTTGGGGTAGCTGGGCTGGGATTTGGTCCTTTCCCAGGAGGGCACCAGGGAGGCAAAGAGCCGTGGGGACACACACAAGGACAATGAATTAACTCCACAGACACATCTCCATGCTCCTAAAGCAGTGCAGGTCTGGACCAGGCTGCTGGGAGAAGCAGTGGAGACAAGTGATTTGGGTAGTTTATTTGGGCAGCGGGAGTTGCCCTGGGCTTTGACCTCCCTGTGGAGAGGGAGGGTCCTGCCTTGCCCTTGAGTCTGGTCTCTTGCAAATCTGGCTGTCAGCCTGCCCCAAGACCAGCCAGCACAGGTGGAGGTAGCTAGCTGGGACACTTCCAATAACCTGGGGGCTTTTTCAGCAAACACTTCAGGAAATTGTGCTTCAGTCTGTCTCAAAAGCAGAGAAATTAAATCAATGTGGAAAGAAGTAATGCTGCATCTAAATCCAGCGCTGTTTGTAAATTGTTCTGTTATGGAAACGGGCTTTAATGATAATGGCAAATTACTGTATGAAAGATGACAGTTATTATTTTCTTTTCTTGCTGAGGTAGTTGTTACAATTTTGGATTTAAAATAGACCCAGTGTCTCGGGTTTATTAACCAGGAGTGGAACTAGTGCTCACTCGTGCCTCTGTAAATCCCAGAATGGCCCTAAACCTCCCCAGAACGCAGCCTAGCTTCCTGATGAATGCTGCATCACCTCGGCCCTGGATGAGTGTCCATGGGAATACCGAAGCGCAGCCAGAAGAGTGTGCTTGACAGCGCTTACTTGGCGGCTTAATTTCTTTGTAATGCTGCTTTCTTTCATTTTGGCTCTGATTTGCTGGGTAAGTGGGGGAGTGGGGAAAGGGGGCTTAGCTTCCCCTCTCAGTGGGTGGGCAGTTGGGTGGTGGTGCCTCAGGGCTCGCAGAAGAGCATCGCCTCAGTGGAAAACAGCCTCCAGCAGCAGCCCAGGGCGACCCCGCGGGCTCGGAGCCCCTCTGCCCAGGGACCCTCGCTGTCCCCAGCAGACTTGCCGAGTTTGCTCCCCCTGGGAACAGGAGCGGGAAAGCTCGTCGTGCCGAGGAGTGCCAGCCTGGAGGAAAGCTGAGCTGAGCTCTGCGGCTGAGTGTCCTGCCCGCAGCTCCTGCCTGTGTGGGCACGAACTGCCCGTCGCTGCTGCCTGAGGAACTCCTCCCAGGTTCAGCACTGGAGCTGGGCTTGGTTTTTTTTTCCTTCCAGCTGAACATAGTCTGGTCCAAATGAAAATATTTGTTTAGGTTTTGTAAAGAGAACTTGGGGTAAAAAGGGGGAGATGGGGACTGTGGTCCCGTGCCAAGGGCTGGATCCGAAAACAAGACCCCAGCCCAGCTCCTCCTTCCCTCCCGCGCCTGGTTTCCATCCGGACAAGCGATATTGCTGTGTGGGAACGAATGGAAGTGGTTTTCGGCATGTGGAAGTGTTAGCCAGCAGAGCACTTCTTGAGGGAAAGCATTTAACTGGCTTTTAACTGTGGTGTGGTACTAAAAGCGTTATATATTACACTGTCATTAGGGGACAGCTTTTGCTCTTCAAATTAAACAAATAGTTTAAAGCTGCTGAAAATTGCAACCAGATTTTTTTTTAAAGAAGAATTGGGGAAACAAATGTGAAATTGCAGCTGAAGACCTGAGAGGCAGACTGATTATCTCTTCTTAAAACTGAGTTGCACTCACCCCCTTGGAAAGGCTGACCGGGGGTGGCACAAAGCCTGTACTGGGAGTGCAGTTGGGGCCTGTGGTGCTGACTGGAGCAGACCACCGGGCTTCAATGAGGGACTGAGACCCCCACGCACCCAGCTGCCTGGCTGTGTAACGGTAGCGCTGCCGCTCGCAGCCGCCTCTTTCCTTCGGTGGGAGCTGGCCCAGGCGGAATGTTTGTTTAACCAGTGTTTGCCTTCCGCAGGTCCCACGGGAATCGGGGAGCTCGTGAGGGCTGGGGAGAACAATGATGGCACTCTTCCCGCCCAGCCTGATTCATTCAGCACACTGCCCAGCCTGGGGTTTATCCGGAACCCGGGCTCGCTGCTCCGCGAGCTGCCTGCAGCGTGCCGTGCCGGTGCCGTGGGGCAGGGCCGGCTCCTCGCTGTGAAGGGTGCCCGAGCTCTGCGGCTCTGGGCCCCTTTCTTCTGCCGTGGGGCTGAACCCCGACCGTACCCCCTTGCAAGTGCGTGTTTGGGGTGATCCTGAAGGCAGCCCCATGCAGCGGGGGCGGTGGGTCCCTCACCCCCAGCAGCAGATGCCGTCCCTGTGGTGCGGGCGAGGGGGCAGCTCGGAGGGTGCGTGCTTTGTGAGAGCTTTGGAACCCCTTATGGTGCCTGGACAGACGGGAAGATATCTTGGTTCAAGTAAACAGCGTGCAGGAGCTTTGAAGGCAACCTTGATAAATTTTGGCTTGAAGATCAACTTGACAAACTTTAAGGAGAAACGCTGGATGTCAGCCACTCTCGGGATAGTTTAAAAGGGATTTGGGCCAAAAAGCTTTTAGTGCATAACTGACTCGCTCCAGTGATTTCCTTCTGAAGGCAGGCTGGAAACTTGGGATTGTTTTTAATATTGTTGTCCTGAAGTGGATGGTCCAATAACAGGAGGAAGTTCAGAGCGTGTTTTCATTAAGCCGTGCCTGGAGAAGTTATGAAGTAGGTATTCAGGGTTCTTGCGGAAAGTGAAAAGAACAGATCATAACATAGCTCCAAAATCCAGTAGTTAACAGTGAAAACCTAAAATGCTTTTCCTCAAATATCTGTGTTAGGGCAACATAGTAAAGCCTTTGACCGTGATCATACATGGTAGCAGCAAAAGAAACACCTTTTTGTTACCCTTCACTTTGGGCTTTTGGTGTCAGGTTGAGAGTTTTTTTCCCCTGATCTGGACACAGTTTGACATCTGCAATTATAGCTTTAAGCATTCCCTTGACCAGGGAGTGACATCCCGCCATGTGCCTGGGCAGATATTGAAACCTGCCACTGTCCAACTTGTAATAAAGCCTTGAGACTTTGCTGTTCTCTCCCACTGACGGCACAGGCGTTTTGTTTTGGCCATGGGGAGTGGGGTGCTGGGGTGGAGCAAGACGCTCCAGATGCATGTGCTGGCACAGTGCTGTTCTCGTAGCTCTGGTGTAAGTGTTCATTAGTCTTGGCACGTTTGTAGTGGATTGAGAATCTCTTCTAGTAGGATCCTACCATGCTGCTACTGTGCTAGTGCTCTCGCTGCAGCCAGACCAAGTCAGTGTGCACCGCATAGTGTGTGCTGTCACGGTCATACAGCCTCGAGGCTTTGGTGGCTGCTCTTCCCAGTTGTCAGATACCACCGGCAGTATCCTTCTTGCGTGTGTGAGGCCTGGGAGGAGCTGTCAGAGTCCTTGTCTCTTGCTTCTGTAGTTCCTATCAGGATTTCTCACTTCTGCAAAAGCCATCTGTGCACCAGATCACTTCTACAGCATCCTGCAGCACTCCAACCAGCTATTCCCGAGCAGCACCTTCTCCCACAGGGTGACAGTCCTCCCCCAGTAAAGTTCTGGGTATCAATCCTGCTGTTGCAGAGGCACAATATACTGACATGTTGATGTCAGGTATCGTAACATGCAGTGATGTTAACATGCACCCCAAGAGACAGCGAAGAAGCCCTGCCTCCATTAAATCATTTTTCTGTTGCTATTGCCAGTCTTCAGGCAGGAATCTTGTCCTGAAATGCTGCTATTGGGCTGAGGTGGAAGCTGACTTTGTTTTTACAGACATGATGAGTTCTTCACTGTGGTGCAGATGTTTCTGTGTTTAAAAGGCCGTACTGAACCTGACTACGTACAGTGAACAGTTAATTGCTTCTCTACTTTTTTTAAAAATTAAGTTTTCAAATGCTGACCAAGTAAGAAACAAATCTAATGCAGCTGGATGCTGGTCTTTAAAAGGGAGTGGCAGCGAGCCAACTGGCTGCCCCTTAGCTCTTCACACTACAATAGGAAAAATGCCTTGAGTGGGGAACTCCCTTCCCCTTCGCACCAGGCCAGACGTTAACTGTACCGACGCCCCTGTCCCGCAAATGCTAGTTCAGCGTGGGGCAGACCTCTCGCAGGATCACGGTTTACTCTGCTTTTAAGATAGTGGTTAGTGGCCAGTTGAGCAAGAGACTTTATTTTGGATAGTTTCTTGGTATTTACCTTCCATGCTGCAGGGCATCGGTGACCAAACACCTTCCCTTTACTGCAAAATCAGTAGTTGGGTGGAGTTGGTGGCTGTCGGTGTTACACACTGACTCAACTGCTATGTGACTACTTATTCCTGTATTAAGATTTCTTTTTTTAGTTGATAAAAGGGGATCTTTTACTGTAAACTATGCTGCCTGCAGCCCATGGTGGCTATGGTGTGCTCTTGGTGCAGCCCGTGACCTGGTCCCCAGAGCTCTCCCTGTCCTGGCATGAGGCAGTGGGTTTTGATATTTACGGGTTTCTGGTCTTTTTCAGCAGCCTTGTTGTCAAATTACCTGGAATAGTAGCATGCTAATGCCAGCGAGGGAGGGTGGGTTGGGATCTGGGTGCAGTCTAGTGAAGCAAGTCTTTGCTGCTTTGCTTTCCTGGGGAGTCCAGGGTGGGGTTTTTTTAAGACAAAAAAAAAACAACCAAATCCAGAAACCACCCACCCTGTTTTCTGAGGATTAAGTGATTAACAGCAACCCGGCTGCTACTTGCATCTGAGTTGAGCCTTTTATTTTCTGAAGCGTAGGCCGGAACAACTCAAAAGGGAAGGGAAGGGGCATGTTTTCTGCCAGCGCTCCGTAACGCGAGCGGAGCATCTGTTTGCGAAGCACGGGAGCAAAGAAAGCTCGTGCTTCCCTGCCGGAGGCAGCTCGGGGTGACGGTCGGTGCTCTCTGTCCAGGCCATGCAGTACATGGAGCTGATCCCCAAGGAGATGCAGCCCGTGGCGGGGACGGACGGGGCCTGCTACCGCCGGCGGCAGCTGATGAGACAACTCCCGCTGTACGACCAGGACCCGTCCCAGTGCCGTGGCCTCGCTGCGGGCGAGCTGAAGCTGATGGAAGACTTCGTGAAGCAGTACAAAGCCGAGG